GAAGTCAACAATCAACTACCAGCCGAGGATAAGCTTGAAGGACCTCTCAATAAGTTCTTGGGGCTAAAGTGGGACACCGTCAAGGATCAATTCGTGTTTGAATTTCCGGCAGTACCGAGTGGTCATCCGACAAGAAGAACTGTGTTCTCAGTGATCCACTCAATTTTCGACCCGTCTGGACTGATCTCTCCATGTTTGCTTCGAGCCAAACTATTTGCCCAGGGGCTGTGGCAGGAATCAATCACCTGGGATTCACCGCTTTGTGAAGAACATGTTGCCGAATGGGACAGTATAACCACAGCCTGGAACAAACAAGTCATTTATGTACCTCGTAGATGTACTCAAGGATTGACTGGGACTCTCCAGCTGCACATTTTTTCGGATGCTTCGACAACAGCGTTTGCTACTACCGTATACCTGAGAACTGATGTTGGAGGCTTAGTTAACTGCCAACTGATTTTTTCTAAGAGCCGACTGTGCCCTAAGGCAGCTGGAAAATCACTTACTGTACCTCGACTTGAACTTCTTGCTTTACTCATAGGAGTTCGCGCCAAAACATTCGTGATGAAACAACTTCAAGGAGTTGTCGCAGAATGTCACCTATGGAGTGACAGCCAGATTGCACTCGCCTGGGTCCAAAGCCGAGAGACTCAACCAGTGTTTGTACAACGACGTTTAGCTGAAATTCGACTGCATACCGACTGCACTTTTCACTTCGTTAGGACCAGTGACAACCCTGCCGATATCGCTACAAGGGGACTTGACCCGAGAGAATTAGCCGATAATCAACTTTGGTGGAATGGGCCAAGCTGGCTTATGCATGGACAATGGCCGGAGGAGCAAACCTTCCAACTGGCACCCGAACTGGATTCACCTCTACCGGACGTCGACAGTTACCACAGTGGAGCTTATGTAGCCGCCAACCATAAGCAACAAGTACGTCAACCAACCATCGACCTAAGTCGATACTCTACTATTGAAAAGGCCCTCAAGGTCACAGCTTATGTTCTACGTTTTATGGGCAAGATTACAAGGAAAGGAGATTTTACAGTAGCGGATCTAGACTTGGCTCGTTTTACACTCATCAGACAGGCCCAAGAGCAATTTATTGACCAATTAACTGAACTTAGAAAGTTCAAGGACGTCCAAGGAATTTATCGCCTTATGACAAGAATTGTCAACCACAAAGGAGATCTCGATCTTGCCAACCCAATAATTTTGCCTGCAGGAGCGGAAATAACATTGCTGATGATCGACCAAATACATAAACGAATACTCCACATGGGAGTTGACTGGACACTAGGAGAATTTTTACGAACTTATTGGACCCCCCATGCTCGTCGCACAGTCAAGAAAGTGATTAATAATTGCCTGAAATGTGCTCGTATGCGTTCCTACCCCTTTGCACAACCTGACATGCCACCATTACCAGCCGACCGCGTTAATCGCCTCAGGCCATTTTCCTCGGTAGGATGTGACTACTTAGGACCAACCCGAGCCAAAATTGGAACTGAAACAGTCAAAGTGTGGATCGTGCTCTTTACCTGCTTGTCAACCCGCGCAGTCTACTTGGAGCCCACGATGGACTTAACCGCAGCCTCATTTACAAACATTCTGCGCCGTTTGGTCAGCCGCCGAGGAAGCCCCTCCAAAATAATCTCCGACAACGGAAGACAATTTGTGCTTGCCAACAAAGCTCTACTTCGACTGTGCCCACCTTCACCAGATCAAGAAGCTGAACAAATAAATATGAACACTCGGGGGATTCAATGGCTCTTCATTCCGCAACTTTCACCCTGGATGGGAGGATTTTATGAACGCCTGGTGGCTATCGTCAAAAGCTGCTTCATGCGTACCGTAGGACGACGTGTACTCACCTACGATGAACTATCAACCTTCACTGCAGAAGTCGAGGCGGTACTCAACCATCGTCCACTTGCTTATGTATCAGAAGCACAGGATGCCCCGCGGCCACTTAGACCAATCGATCTTGTTCAACCTGGCGCCATAGTGGATCTACCAATCGAAAATTGTGACTATAATGAACATGACCGTAAGGCACCCCCGGAGGACAAACTCATTGCCCTATGGAAAGGGACACAAGTAGCATTGGAAGTATTCTGGGATCAGTGGGTAACCGAATATTTGACGATGCTTCGTGAAAGGTCAGCGTGGAAACACAAAGGACCTCGCCTTAAGCAATATCGACCACCCTCAGTCGGAGAAGTAGTACTGATTGGAGATGATCTCCATCCGCGCAACATTTGGCAAATTGCGCGAGTAACTGAACTTAATGGCTCACCACCATACGTCAGAAGTGTTAAATTACAGTTGCCCAACGGGCATATCACCACAAGGCCGGTCTCAAAACTCTACCCACTAGAATGCTCGCGGCCAACTGAAGAGTTGACTACAGAACCCAATAATCACCAGAAACTAGGCAAAGAGCCAGAGAAAATAACAAAGCAACCGGGAGACCGAGCTATGGAACTTGAACAATCCGAGGACCCGGAGCCAACTCAACCAGTACCAGAGCAAAGTTCAGCCGAGAAACCAACCAGGAAGGTATGGAACCTTCGCCCCAGAGGAAAAACAACCGTGAATCTACCTGTCATCGCGCCTTGGACTTTGACAATAATATTCTTTATCAGTATGCTCTTGCCTGTAACAGCACTAGTAGACTGCTCTAAATGCTTACTTGCCTGTACTACCAAAGGAATCGTGATCAGCAGCCCTCAGGAGATCACCAAATTGGAGATTTGTTGTGAGGGAGATTGCCTAATCCGACAAGCGTCATCGAATGTCACTTATGAATTACCTCAGGAGATGTTATTACGCGACTATACTTGCAAGAGTTACTTTTGGACAACTGCCAGCGAAACTTGTACCGTACACACTACTTGCCCAGTAGTGGGAGACTGCTCTCTGATCGATTGTCTTTTTTGTATTGACCATGTCGCAAATCCTAACTGTAGCCCAAGATGGGCGGCGTTCTTGACCGGAATTTTAATGTGCTTCATCCTTTGCATGTGTGGATGCACACTCTGTCTACTCCGTATTTGCAGTTTTAATGTTCATGTACTTATGTCAATATGTTACTGTATCGTGGGATGCGGAACACTTTGTACAAGAAAAACTACACAGCAAGCTCAAACTTTAGCTAGAACTACAGGAATCGCAGCAAGAGCTCGAATTATGAGACATCAATTGAACCAAGCGAGCCGCAACCTTCAACAGACCGGACAAGAATGGAGACGAGCCCACTTAGATCGAATACTTGGAAGACGACCAAGACCTTCGAACTGGATACCTTTGGTCGTGTTACTAGCCTTGGCCAACTATACAGATTCCTCCAATACCATTGCAGTCACTACGAAGTCAGAAAGTTGCCAACGAGGACCGACAGGAATCTCATGCGTGCTTAACTATGCTACAACTTTAACTTTATTACCAAAGGGTCAAACAACCACTTTGTTACTCAGGAATGAACACGGAATTGCTCTTGGAACCCTAAGCATAATTGTAGATGCTCTTACGATGAATTGTGTACCAAAATCTGAAGGATGGTTCAGAAGCTATAAAATGGACACACTAGCAATCAAGAGGTGTCCGTCCAGTGGTTCATGCAAGAATAATTACTGTTCAGAAGTCAGACCTTCAACTATTATACCAGAACTACGAGAAGTCAACACCTTACCAGGGATATCACGTTGTGAACCTAGCTCATCGTTTTGGTTTTACGGATGCGGCCTACCGACCGACGCATGCCTGTTTTACCGTTACTTTGCTCGACCAACCACTGGAAACACATTCGAACTCATTTCATGCCCTACCTGGGAATTTAACATACATGCAGACATACAACTAGAAGTTAGTGGGAAAAAACCTCTTATGGAGTCAATAATACTACACCCTGGTATGACCTTTCATTGGAACAACGTTTCTTTGACGCCCATCGCTGCCGCTGTACCTCCTGCACCAGTGTTGAACCGGCAATTCATCACTGATGGAAGCAGCGTCGCTATGGTAGAGAATATACCCCGAGACTTGCTCTGTTCAACTGAATCAGACGCCAGACTATTCAACTGCAGTATTTCAAACTCTGTTTGCATCGACTGTATACATGATCACTCTACAGGAAATGTCGCATGCAGTTGTCGCGACCTTAACCTTGAAAGAACACTAATGGACTCTAGTGTCCGTCTACCCCTTAATGTGGCCAAATTATTGATCAGAAATGAAAGAGGAAATATATTTGCCGACTATGGATACTCGCCGTTGCAATTACATGTCCAGATGAAACACCTGGAACTTCTACTTGAGTTCCAAGAAGCTCGATGCACAGTCCAACCACACAACCTAACGGGATGCTATAAGTGTGAAAGTGGTGCTCAACTACAGTATACATGTTCAACCGATCAAGGGGATGCTCTTGCCAACATTGAATGCGCCGATGGTACCGTATTCTCAGCTCGATGTTCACCAAATGGCACTTACGGAAGAGAAAATCTACCCTTCGACCACTTTCAGATCAAAACAAAATGTCGCGTCGATTGTCCTGCCGGCGAAACACAATTTGAACTAACTGGAGCGTTGTATTATGTGCCAATCAAGAAAAGATTTCAGCATGGCTATCGAGACTCTGAAACACTTGACTTACCCTCAGGAAATTGGTGGGACACTGGATTTGACCCACTAGCACTCGCCTCAATATTGACCTCACTGTCGAGTGTTACTTCACTTATACTGGCACTTATTCTTGGAATTGGGCTACTTTATTTATTCATTCGACTCAACCCAGTATTCCGAGCCTGGAAAGCAATGGCACGACTTGTTGTTATAATCACCTTCATGTCACTTTGTTTCGCAACTCAGGCCCCCGGAGGGCCCTACAGGCATAAGGAACACATCATCTCTGCTACATTAACGTTTACAGTCGACCTAACATGCTTTGAACAACAAAAATCCCGAGTCTCGACTTCGGACCCCGAGTCTCGAGTTCATGGTCTCGAGTCTCGAGCCCCGACCTTTTGTCTCGAGTCTCGAGTTGGCGACCTCGAGTCTCGAGTCTCGACCATTTTGACATTTTGTCCCGAGCCTCGACTATTATACATGAAGGACACACCCACCCACTCAAAAACTTTGGCTCCACCCATTTTCAACAGAATTTTGGCTCCGCCCACTTTCAACACAAACAATAATTTTACAACTTGGCAACGCACCTTCAGGCCTATATATATGTTACGCCGTCGGCACATCTTCATTCATTCTAAAACTTTTAAAAAAATAATTTTGATCAATATGTTGCACCGTCTACCCGCTGAATTGAAACCACGTCAATTGGATCATTGGCTCGACATTCACCACCCTGGTTGGAACTTAGATGAGAAGATACGTTTTGATGCTGGGGTCTCAATCGCCAAAACAATCGAAGGCAAGAAAGCCAGTCTTGAAATGTTTACTGCCAAGTCGACTCTGAGACGCCCGGTTGGCCTTTCTGGATTTAGCCAACTCCCAGCCAATGAAAAACTCATCATGCCAAACGTCACTGTAGAACAATACTAGTCGAGTCAAGGTGTCACACTCAACCAACCCAATATGAAATGTATCATGTTTGGTAACCCGTTGGAGAATGAAACCACAAGACACGGCTACCGGGGGAGCAGTAAAAAGTCACTCCGAAGAAACCGTGGTAAAGCGTGTTGGAGACAAGGATACCGCCACTACGAGTTTGTGCCGCCAGAACGGCTTCATTGGATCCTTACCGAGCAAATAGAAAATGATTTGAAAGATTTTTCTTACTTGGATATCAATTGTGATGACAGCGGGGAAAGCAATATTTCGCAACCACCAGACTCGAAACCACCGCCTGATAATTGGGGACGCAGTCAACCTTCTGATCATTCGACTCCGTCGCCAACGCAAGACACACACGGGAGCTCTGAACAACTTCGTCAATACCCAACCATACCCGTATCTCCAGTAATCATAATGAAAGAATCTGGATTTAGTAATGGAGGCTTCAATCAAGGGCAGATCCACTCATACTCAAATGCTCCTCTTTATATAAAAAATACTCCTCCTTATCGAGGAGGTAATCGCCGTTCGAACATCTCTATTCAACCGTTTGGTGTTCCTTCTCACTTAAAATCAGCATTTAATAAAAAGGGAAATGCTAGGCAACAGTCGACTAATTTTTGTCCTGCGAAGAGTAAGCAACAGTCGACTAATTTTTGTCCAGCGAATAATAAGCGACAGTCGACTAATTTTTGTTCAGCGAAGGATAAGCGACAGTCGACTAATTTTTGTTCAGCGAAGGATAAGCGACAGTCGACTAATTTTTGTTCAGCGAAGGATAAGCGACAGTCGACTAATTTTTGTTCAGCGAAGGATAAGCAACAGACGTACACATCCAACAGATACACAAAGTCGACGAATTGTCCTTCAGTAAATAGTAAACAGTCGACTAAACTCTCACAAAGTATTTTTTCTCCGGCGACTAATCGTCCTGGACAGCCGACTATACGCAAGCAGCCTAATTCAACTGGGACATCTAATCGCGAATGCTTGGCCAACTCTTTACGAAATGATTATGCACGCCCACACTCTGTTCTATGCCCACATGTGTTTTCTTCTTCTCTGACTGATTTTTGCCCATTGCAGGGAGAAGGATTTTATAAAGATAAACAGTTATACAAAACAAAAGAAAATTTTGGCCATCGATGTTTATGTTCAACTTTTGCTAAGAAAGGCCCACCCACTTACAAGGAGAGAATGGCTTACACACGTGCCAACACATCTCCAGTTCAATTGACTTTTTTCATTACAATTTTATGTCTTTGGCTTGGCCTTGCTATGCCTCACGCCGTGCAAAATGAACTTCTCGCGCTTAAACCATTTAAAATTTTGGCTCCTCCTATTTTTAATTACTCATGTCCAACTTCACAAATCATTTACAAAACTAATCACTTTTTTATGGCACAGGCAAATATTCCATATCTCTCAGAAAAAGAGAGAAATAAATTAAAAGCTAAATTTATGACTCCAATACCTTCTGTCTGTTTGGTGTGTGACTTTAAAAACAGGGACCCAATTGGACATAAACCTGGAGACATCATCTGCCCATATTTTAACGACGGGTTTCGTAGAAAGACTTGGATCAAACAACTGGGCTTCGCCGATAAACAAGCAGTACGACGTGCTAAAACTGCCTTAATTAAGAAACTTACTGTTAGTGGACAGTTTGGAGTCGGTACATCAAAAACAACAACTACTACAGCAGTTACTCTTCCACCATCTTCTAATACATCCTCATCAAAGACATCCACATTTTCGTCACCAGAGCGACCAATAACACCTATCATTCCACACAAAACTCTTCCCGCACCAGATCCGCGTCAGTGGGGAATCGATATACCAACAAAGTTAACTCATGACTTGCCCCGACCTGCATTTGGCCAAGTTTTTGTTGCAAATAAGAAAGCTGAGGACTTAAAAAACAACGCGCGGAAATTGGCAAAACAACAGTTAAACATCAAGGGACCAGGAAAGAAGGTGCCCTCTGCTTTTCAACAGATGGTCTCGAAATATGTACAATCAGCAGAGCAAAAAGAAACAACAGAGAAGAAAAAGGCAGCCTTTGAACGTGAACTTGGTGAGCGTCCGATTGATAAAACTTATAGCTATGACGCCATGCTTGACCCTGACTCTTTGGATTACATTGGGGACCAATTGACAAAAGAAAAGTTAAAAGAAATGGAATTTGAGCGGCCTCTACGTATGGCAGATTGGCGTAATATGATGTCGCGTAGAGTTACAAATATGGTCAGCCAATTACGTCTTCTTGACGGTCAAAAGCAGCGCAATCCAACACAAACTTCCCACCTTGCTCACCCTCATACGTGGAAGTTAGTAAAGGACATTTACGAAGCTAAAAAGAAGGAAAAGCCAAAACCTCACCGCACCTGGAACCCTGAAGAAGTAAAAGCGTTTATTCGAAAAAGCAATAGAATTCTTGCGGACACCACTCCAAAGGAGCAGCAACGCAGCAACAACATTGAACCATCTCAACCTGAGCCATCTCAATCAACAGAATGGAACAGCAACACTCTTAAAGTTTATAATAATCGCCGTCGTCGTAACTCTCTCTCTCCAACTTCAAATGCTTTAATAACCGGATACTCCGCTGCCTTCAAAAATGCACGTCAACTGGAAGAAGTGCTCCTCACCCGTCCCAGCTTTAAGAGTGCTATTGTTGCCCAGAATAATGAAGAAAAGGATGTTGGAAAGAAGAATTGAGAAGAGAAGGAAGATAAGAACAGTCGACGGAATAGTCGACCTTTTTGGCGGGGGTATGTCGCCAAAGGCGACTTTCATTCAATTTATTTTAATTTCTTATTATACTCAAGTATACTCAAGTTTCCCCCGTTTTATTACTCCAATTGTTTAATTTAATCTTTGTTCGTGTTCCTCCCCTTTCTCTATTTTTTCACACATTTTTTAAGCTCCGCCTCTTTTTTCCAGCTGGCTGGTCGGAATAAGCCCCACCCAGCTAGACCTGCCAGCCTTTATTTAAATCCCTCTTTTTGAGAGAATTTATTCATTAGTTCTTTAAACTATTCCCTGCTCTTGTTACCCTCCTCCATTTAAACTATAATATTTGTGCGCTTATATTTTGGCTGAAATAAATTTATTTTTTGTTGTTTATTGTTTTCATTGTGACAGTCGACTGTTGATCCCTCCTCTCTTTCCTTTCAACCTTTTGTGGCTTGGCTCGGAGAGCAGTGCGTGGATAGTCCATCCTCATACGGACTATTGCTCTCCCCTTGAATCCCAAACTCCCTTGCCAACATTTCCCTTTTTTGGCGCCGCAGGCGAAAATTTTGAGAATTTAGGATGTTTAGGGCAATAGATTTGGCCAAAAAGTCGGAATTTTATTTAAAATTTACTCAAAATTGGACCCGGGCCGGGCCCGGGTTTTTAGAACAAGACCCGGGCCGGGTTTTCCGGGCTAAAACCCCGAAAACCCGGAAACCCCGAAAAACCGGATTTTCTCAAAAATACCCGGTTCGGGGCTACCGGGCCCGGAAAACCCGGTCCCGGGCCCGGCCCGGGTCCGAGCTCTAATTTTTAAACACCTTAAAATATTTTCAAGCTTGTTTAGAATCAAAAAATTATAATTTATTGAAAATATTAATTTAAATTGTATGTTTAAATTTAGCCAATTAAATTTAGTTACCTAATTAAATTATTTGGTTCAAAAATTTTGTTAAAATTTCATTTTAAACAAATTTTAGTTTAAATTTATTTTCTAATAATATCCAAATAATTTCTAAAAATATTTTTCCGCAGAATTAAAACTATAAATAATGCAAAATGAATAATTTTAAAGAATTTTTGCCATTGTATTATGCTGTTTCCGTGAAAGATTTTCTATATCTTAATAAAATGTAAGTGTCAAAGAATATAAAAATGTAAATTAAATAAAAGAATAAAAAATTAAAAAAGGAAGTTTAATTTAAAAAAATAGAAAAAATATTAAGCGAAAATTGTTAATTCTTTTAATAATAAAGGCTAGCCATCGGAAATTATTTTTATTTAAAGATTCATTTAATTGGAACTCCACATTTTTAGGTAAACGATAATTAACGAAACAATTTAAATTTAGTATACAACAGAATTCGGCTCGTGATTGAGACTTTAATAAGTGAGTTTAGACCCGTCTGTATATTTACAGAATTGAAATCGTCTTGTTAGGCAATGTCAAAATTTGAATTAACAAAATTAGTATAAAAGAACAGTTTTGAATAATTTTTCAAAAATTTTAACATTTAATAAAAATAGTTACAAATACTCGTTTTATAAAGTATAATTATTTAATAAAATCTTTTATTTTTTCTGCTTTACGGGAAACCCAAACAAAACAACCTTACATACTTTTAATATAATTTTTAAAAATCATTTAATTATTGTGTCATAAACTAATAATTCAGTCAGTTTTGAATTTGATAAAAACGAGCTAGTCGGACTGACACGATATTTTCCTCTAACAATAAGTTATTTTATTAATTTAATCTTTAATTTGAACAATTAAAAAAATTAAAAAGTACAGTTGATACCTTTTTATTTGAAAATAATAATTTAATTTAAACTTAATATTTTCTATTTATAATTAAATTTAAATTTGTTTTGATAAAATTTTTTATCCTTATGACTTTATAGTGCAATAAAATTATTTGTTAAAATTAAATAAACATTTTTATTAAATATTATATAATTAAAAATAAAATTTTAAACAAGAAATTTAATTTTAAGTATTTATATTTTAAAAATTTATATACATATTATTAATAGAAAAATCATTTAAATCATTTATTAATAGAAAAATTTTAAATCCGATATCGCTAGCTTAATATGTAGAGCATTTCTAGATGGCAGAGGTTTGTCGGAATTGACGAAGGTGCCGGAAATCGGAACTACTGTTTTTGCTTCAAAATTATCAAAAATCGGAAAATTTTCCAATATTTCTTAAATGGGAAATCGGGAGGGAAAAAACGTCGGAACTTCGAAATCGAAATTCCGACCAACCTCTGGTACGTGGTTAGGCGTGTTGCAATAAAGTGCCAAGGGTTAAACTTTACTTCTCTCACATATTTTAATTAAATTGAAACATTATGGAGGTCAGTATCAGGGATTCAAAAATTATAACGATGTAACAAGTCAGATGAATTTATAAAGCTTCCATGAAAAGTTGAATAATATTTTTACAATTTCTCAACCAAAAATGGTCATTTCCTGAATAAGCTTTGTTGAGTTGCGAGTCTTAAAACTTATTTACAAATTTTAGATTTTTTAAAAATTATTGACTGAGAGGTGAAGGGCATTATAAAATATTGACATGTGGATTTGCTTGCCTCTTTGTGTATTAATTTTTAATTTTTTAAACAAAGGTCCCAACAAAGGTTTAATTTAAACAAAGATTTTAAATAAATTCCTGTCACATAATCTACCCTCTCCCCACTAGAAGCTTCCATCTTCAAGAAAATTTATAAAATAATTCTATTAGAATTATGAAGAAAATATAAAATAAAAAAATTATTTAACTTAAAACAAGATGAAAGTAAAAAATTTATTTATTATAAAATGTAATTACTAATTTTATTTAAAAAACTTATTTTTGTTGGTTTTTCATGCGTATTTTCAATATTGTCGCGAAATCCGACTTTTGTATTATATTTTTTTAACCTTTTGTTCATTGTCGCTTTTGTTGAAATATTTTTATTCTTTAAATTTCTATTTTTAATCATGCGTAATCAAATACGCTCACTTCTTTCTAATTCTTCCCATTATTCATTTCACTTTGTAAATTTTTTTCTATTTTTATGTTAAAACCCTCCATTTTTTCCTCTATTTAAATGTTGGGATTTTAGGGTATAATCAGAGTTTTAAGATTCTTCCAGTTTTTGTGTAAGAGTTTTTGTAATGTTCTTTGTAATTGTTTAATAAAATTGTAAACTTCTAGAGCTCTTCCCAGATTGCTAAGTTAATTGTATAGTTAATTGCAAAGTCATTTGTAGAGTTAAAATTGTAAACTTAAATTCTCAGTTTTATAAATTTAGAGTTTTAAAATTTTAAATAAATTTTTTATTCTTTTAAAATTAATTTTTAATCTTTAAATAATTGTTGGGAAATTATTTTCCAACAAATATTTCAAACAAGAGCTTGTCGAATACACACTCGAATCGCCTGTTGATTTTTCTCTAATTAAGAAATGGAATAGTTTGTAGTTTGTATATTTATTATAGTTTAATAATTTTAAACGCTTGCACTTTGTCACCCGCTTCTTTCTTAATAAAAAAATAAAATACAAAAAAGCTTGACAAAATTTAATAATGCACTTTGCTTGTCAGCAGAGCTTTAAAAATTTTTGTCAAGCTTTTTTGTATTTTATTTTTTTATTAAGAAAGAAGCGGGTGACAAAGTGCAAGCGTTTAAAATTATTAAACTATAATAAATATACAAACTACAAAATATTCTATTTCTTAATTAGAGAAAAATCAACAGGCGATTCTAAAGTGTATTCGACAAGCTCTTGTTTAAAATATTGAAAATAGGCATGAAAAACCAACAAAAATAAGTTTTTTTAATAAAATTAGAAATTATATTTCATAATAAACAAATTTTTTACTTTCATCATGTTTTAAATTAAATAACTTTTTTATTTTATATTTTCTTCATAATTCTATTAGAATTAATTTTAAAAAATTCTTAATAGAAGATGGAAGCGTCTATTGGGGAGAGGGGAGATTATGGGACTGACTGAATCTTGGCAAATTTAAACAATTAATCCTTCTCTTTAATCCTTCTCTTTAATAATTAACCCTCCTATTTTATTAATCAATCTTTCTCTTGATCTTACTATGGGCGGAGTCATTAAGAGTTGCGATGCGTAAAATCGGTAAATAAATACTGAGAATTTCTCTCGATTTAATCATTTTTAAAATCCTTTTTTTATTTATTTAGTCTATAATAATAATTTATAAAAATATTAAATAATAATTAGCCTTTTTAATTAAGCAAATTATTCTTTTCCATCATTATATTCTATAGGCTAGAGTCATACATATATGCGTAGTCAGCGGGCTCTCTTTACTTTAGCTTTTCTTTGAATGTTTTAAATTTCTAAATTTCATAACCTCATATCGGAATATATTTTGAAATTTTCTCACCAAAATTTCTGATAGTTTTAACTATCATATTATCCCGAAGCTATTATATCTCTCATTTATTTATCTTCCTTGTTTTCTACTAAAAATAACAGCCCATATTATTCTGAAGAATATAGAAAGATTGATTTATCAAAATTTTAATTATAATAAATATTTTTAATCATTTAAATAATATAAAGATAATTTCAATTTTAGACTAAAAAACAAAATCTAGAAAATGCGCCTACTCGTTTTAGGCGCATTTACTTTGCTTATTGCATTGGGAGAAGCAATGGATAAAGGCGAGGCACCTGAGCAATCATCTCGGGGTCTGCCAGGAAATTTAAACGTATATCTGGAACCAAATGATGGTGGGTGCAAGAGAAAGCTTTACGATCCGAAATTTCAGTTACCGCTGCCTCGTCAATATGCTGGAATCTACAAATGTAGGGTTTTAACAAATTTTTTAAATTTATTTTATAACTAATATGTATTCTTTTATAAATAAATTAAAAATTCGCTTTTATTCGTTTTTATGTATAATAATAATTAGTATTTTATATTAATGATTTAAGCGGCAATCTATCCAAGAGCTACCGTTACTGATGAGGAATTTAATAGAGTCTTGGAAATTCAGAATGGATGGCTAAAAGAAATTATGAGTGAGGAGGCCTATGAGGATTACAAAAAATTGGGTCCTGATAACCATATTGAAAAAATACATGCTGAAAAGCCACACTTAAAAGACTTTAAGAAAAAATCTAATGATCTAAAGGATGAAAAAAATAAAGCTAAAAATTTATTGAAAAATATAGATAAAGTGTCAGAACGAGAGGAAGTTTTAGAAATATTAAAAAAGGAAGGATATCCAATTTCGAAAGATGAAGATGTTGATAAAATTTTAAAGGAATTGAAGGAAAAAGTGGCTTTAAAGATGGATATGGATCCCGGTCAAGATGTCCAACGTGGTTGTATTATAATTAACGAAGATGGAATTTGTAAAATTGATGTTTGTATGTTTTATTTATCTTACTATTTTGAATATTAGATGATTAAATTATTTTATTAAATTTAAAATTCTAATGTCTTGAAATAATCTATGTATTTATGAGATTAATTAGTGTGAAGGTAAATAAAGGAGGAATTGTTTAGAAATATCTTCTTATGTTTATATTTTTAATTTTAGTCCTAAAAAAATTCTTAATAAACTTTGAGCAAATAATCAACAAACTAAACTACCCATCTGTAATTTCTAATAATAAGTTAATTTTTAGCTGGATTCTATAGACCATACAAACCAAATGTGGTTGTAGGTCTGCATTTGAAAAGGGGACATTTGCCAGCAAGCAGTTGGATTAAACCTGATCACGAGGATGTTAAATTATATAGTGGATTATGGCACACAGATAGTGAAAAGGATTTGATTATTCATCATGATTATGACAAAAATGAGAAGCGAATACTTGATCGTTGCTCATTTTATGGGTTTGAAAATTCTTATTGTTATAGAACCAAATGACATTAAAACCAGGATACTAGCTCTGAACCCACCATAGTTCACTTCTTGATCCGGTAGCATTATCATGGAAAGAAGACCAGGGAATTACCGTTGCAACCCCTATAATTTATATCATTCATTTTTGTATAATTGTAGTAATCACGATTCAAAATTAAATAATAAAAAATTCCAAAATAATTATTAGAAAATACGAGTTGGATGAAAATGGTTATCCAATCAACCCAATTACACGTACTGGTTTTATTACACGTGGAGAATTGTATCAATGGGGACCAAGTAAAGGAGTTGGAGCAATTTTATACTCAAAAAGCATAAATGATGAATTTTCATTTCTTGGCGTTATGAATGGGAAGTATGAGAGACCAGAAGGTATAATATACCTATATTTTTCATAAAAAAGTTAGGTTATTAAAAGACTATTCTTATAGATAGAAGAATCACTACTCCAGGAGGGTATGTTGATCCAGATGAAGAATTTGAAGATGCAGCAAAAAGAGAATTAATTGAAGAAGGCCTAGCAAATAAGAAGGTAGGAAAAGAAGAAAAAGCTGAGTTCGAAAATAAACTCAAAACTCTCATGGGTGAAGGAGAATTGGTGATATTTGGCTATAATGATGCGAAAGAGGTGATAGAATTTTAAAGTATTTGGTTCGGTAATTCAATTTCAATGTTTTACAGACTAACACAGACAATGCATGGACAGAATCAGTAACCTACGCTTTTGGAATTGACCACAAAAATTTAAACGAATTTGAAGCAGATCATGGAAGTGATGCAATAAAAGCAATGTGGATGACGATTAAAGTTAATGAAGATTCTTCTGAAGTAAAGTCACTAAAGGAAAAAGTAATTAAAGAGGAGACAAAAGTTGCTAAGGAAGAAAAAATGGAAGAAATGCAATTAGATTTGCCAGTTGAGCATATTACATTTGGAGATGTCGAAGACTTTAAATTAAAAAAAGAAAGAGAGTTTAAAGTTAAAAATCTTCTTGATAAGAAAATAAGAAACATGTTCAGTATAGAGGAAAAGATTGCTTTTGTTCTTAAAACTTTCAAGGTTACTATATTTAATTTTTAACAACCCTTGATTTTGTATCTTAAATATACATAAGGCAATTCTATTGCAACAATTACTAAACTTAATTAATTTGACCGATCTTTAATTCTGACCTTTCCTTAACTAAAGTAATATTTTAGGCATGCCGAACTGAATATGTAGAAGGCAAATTAGAAAAAACTGAAGAAATCGTCGAAAAAGAAACTGGAGAATCCAGTTCCAGTAAAGCAGAATCGACAAAGAAGGTTCCAATTGAAATTTGTTTAAATTTGAATGATAAAAAAACGATGAACATGGAAGGTGTTGCCCGTTTGTTCCTTGTTAAACTATACGGTGAAATGCCTTATTTGGAATTTCTCGAAAAACAAAAGTCGAATCAGGGAACATATGTAGTCAAAAGGGGAAAAGTATCTACCCCGATTATTGGTAGTAAGTTTATTTATCAAATAAAATTATTTGAAAATAATAGAAAAACGCCTTCATGATCAAGGGAGCGGTTCTCAAAAAGAGAGCGGGACTCATCATGAACATAAAAAAGAAAAAAGTTCACGAACAAGTTTAAGCCCAAGCAAAAAACGAGGTGAAAGCCCAACTAAAGGTCATTGAGAATGAGTTCATTCAAAGAGCTAAAAGAAAGTAAAACGAGAGCATATTGCTCTACATATTTCTTCTGTCCACCTTTGTATTAATTTAGCTGTAGTATGACCAGATGCTCACTAATTCTCTTGTTTATATTATTTGGGATCCTTCAAATTATTATAGATCACAGATTTCTGAAATTTTTCTGAAATTTTTTAAAATAAACAAGAATATAGAAAGAGCCGGTCATTAGAATACTTTATTAGTTATGTACATATTATTCTTTATGTAAATATTATTTATTTTTCTTTACTCCTTTCTTGACAAACATTGAGATTTTTAAAGATTATTTTAGTATGTATAAAACATTTAGCAATTTTTTGGTTATTTCTAAATTTAAAGTCAAAATATAAAAAAGAACATAATAGGGAATTAGGGAACGATTGTAGATAAAAACGTAAATCTAATAGCGTAACTTGTAAAATAATAATTAAATTATTCTCAAACAAAAAATTATTCTCATGTCAAAGAAGATATAAATTTTAACAAGGAGAATAAGAGAATCTTCTAGCCAATTTAAATGCCCGACCCTATTTAATTTTTAAATTGAATTCTCAAAATTTTCACCTGCCGCTTTAAATAACAAAATTTTTGGTGCCTGATCTGTAGAATATTTCATTGAGTCATAATAATTGGATAAATTATGAATTGGATATTCTGGATGGCAAATTGAAAACCGAAACCGGGAGTGTAAACCGGTCAAAACCGAAAACCGAGGGTACATGTTAATAACCGGTCGCATGAACCCTAGTCCAAACTAGGGTTGTACCCCGAACGCTCGGGGGCGGGTATGTCGGGGTACGGGGTTTTCCAATTGTTTCGGGGCGGGGTTCGGGTCGGGGGAGCAAAATATGGCCGGGGTTCGGGTCGGGGTACGGGGGTTTAGTGGAAAAATTTTTTGAGAAAAAAATGCTCAAAAATAATTAGAAATCGATATATTTTCGTTGATTTATTCAAAAATTAAGTAGGATTTGAAGAAATTAGAGGGGATTTGAAGGGATTAAAGTGTATAACTTGGGATATAAGTGGATCTGGAGGGATTAAGTGGGATTTTTAGGGATTAAATGGTATATCTAGGGATACAAGGTGATCTGGAGTGATTTTTGTTGGTTCAAGGGATATTAGTGATTTATAAGGATATTGAATATTGCGGATAAGGGTATTTGGACGGATATCAGGAGATATCAGGAGATATTTTGGATTAATCCTTAAATCTCCCACGAAATCCTTGTTAATTCCGTTAAATTCACGTAATCCTTTCAAATCCATTTTAATCTAAACCTTATATCCCTTTAAATCCCTTTATAACTCCTTAATTCTTCGATATCCTACAAAGCCCTTTATATCTCTGATTCCCGTCAACAGGACCGCGATAGTTTTCCAACTGTTATGGTTGAAAACTGGTGATCAGTGCTGGGTATGGCTCCGGGAGCTAGCTCCGGAGCCGGCTCCGGCGGAGCCGGAGCCGGAGCCGGAGCTAAGATTTTGGAAACCCCGGAGCCGGAGCTGGAGCCGGAGCCAAGAATTTCAAACCCCGGAGCCCGGAGCCGGAGCCAAGGTTTTCCAATTCCCCATGGCTCCGGCTATACACCCCTAAAGATGGGTTAGAGAAAAAGAAGTAAGCAAAGATGGTAGGCGTGAAAAGAAAAGGAAGAAAAAATTGAGACGGGTAAAAATAATTTTCTTTCATTTCCTTTAAGAAAGATGCGTGGTTGACTGGATAGTGTGTTGGGTTCATATTTTAGAGGACTTATCTAGGTATTAGGTTCGAACCCGAACGTAATGAAAGACTTAGGATTTATTTTTCTTTCAACAATAAATTATTATAATCATTTTTTATTAAATGAAGCTTGATAAATTTTTCGAATTGATTAATTTTAGTCTTTAGGGTGTCAAAATTTTTAAAATTTTCGCCTGCGGCGTTGAAATAGGATGATTTTTGGCTTAAGGATCTTCCAAAATTATCAAAATTTTCGCCTGCGGCGCAAAAAAGGAAGATTTTTGGCTTAACGATCGTCCAAATTTTTCAAAATTTTCGCCTGCGGCGCAAAAAAAGAAGATTTTTAGATCCAGATCCCCTTAATCCCCCCGATATCGCCCTTAATCTACCTAAATCACAAGATAATCCACACAAATCCCGCTTAATCCATTGATAACCCTCTTAATCCTCTTATATCACTCGATATCCCCCTTTATCTACCCAAATCCCCAATGAAAAATAATTCATTGATTTTCCACCCGGAGCCCGGAGCCAACATGGAGCGGCTCCGAAAATCGCCGGCTCCGGAGCCGGAGCTGGAGCCGGAGCCAAGATTTTAAAAGGCCGGAGCCCGGAGCCGGAGCCGGAGCCAAGATTTTGAAACCCCGGAGCCCGGAGCCGGAGCCGGAGCCGGAGCCAAGAATTTGAAACCCCGGAGCCCGGAGCCGGAGCCAACAAATGGCAAATACCCAGCACTGCTGGTGATACATGGGGTTTGAAGGATTAAGGGTGGTTCAAGGGATATCAGTTAAAAATAAAATTAATATTTTGAAATTACAATTTAAACGTTAATAATTTGTTTTTGTAAAGAAATATAAAAACAAAAGCGTTCTCCTTATATGGATCCGAACCCAACCCTATATTAATGAAATATCGGCTAAAACCAACGACTAAGCCACTCAACCACAAGTCTCTTAATAAAGAATTAAAGAAAATTATGATATTTCATTCATTTTTCTTTCAAAAATAATAAAAGCAAAGTAAAATGGGTGGAAATTTTTAAAATTTTCTTCATTAATTTCTCTAAAAAATGACATTTTTAGGGGTATAAAACCCTGATAACCCCGAAACTTTTTGGGCCGGGGAACGGGGTTTTCACTTTTTTTCGGGGCAGGGTTCGGGTCGGGGAGAATCGTGAAAAAATCGTTCGGGAACGGGGTACGGGGTACAACACTAGTCCAAACATTAAAATTTAATTTAATCAGCTCAAGAGAAAATGAATTTAAAAATTTATATAAAAATGGATTAAATAATTCGAAAATCTCAAGAAAGAGATAAACAATCTGTGATTATTTTTCATATTTTTGTTAATTAATTAGCAAAATTTTTAAAATATTTGTTTTGCTTGTTGTGTATAAATGCCATACTGTCACATTTTTTGCATAAACAAGGAGGTGTTGGTGCTTCTACAGGTTTTTTCTCCAACAAATTATTATTGTTCCTTGATAGAGAAGAGACGGAAGAACTTGGGGTTATAAATTATGTTTAAGATTATAAATTTTGACTATATTTATGATACTATATTTGTTTAGAATGTTCTGCAGAACTAAAAATATGACCGAAAATTGATTGATAACCGATCTTGAAAGAAGTTTTATATTTCCGAAATGCAAAGAACCTATTTGAATATGGGCTTGTGTCACTTAGGATATTGATGTTAGTTATACAAGATGTCATGCCTCTATTCTTTGTTTTTGCTAGGCCCATTATTTATTTAGCTATCTGCGCTTCCGGAGGGTTAAAATTATTAAGGAAGGGCTGTTAATATATTATATATAATTTGATTTCTACTTAATTATATAATGCAGAATAAAGTTTTAAACTTTACCCAAAAATGTTTTCGAATTGACTCATTACAAATTGTGCTAAATTTCTCATAAAATTAGCACTGTCTTTGACCATTTGCTCTTCAAATTCACGCATTTCTTGAAGATATTCCTCAATTTGTTTTTGTTCATCCGATGTAGGTGTACGTTCCTCCCCATTATCGTTAATTACACCATCCTAATTAATTTTAATATTTACTTAAATAATATAAATTTTATTTTGAATTATTCTAGTTTTGAATAAAAATTTTAAGAATGTAAGGGAATTTCTATTTTACTAGGAATGGCTTATAATTAGAGCCCGGATTTTTATGCAAATGCATATTTTTTTTTGCAAACTTTTCATGATGTGTTATGCACAAAAAACACTGTTTCCGCAAGTTTTGAAAACTTTAGAGGGGGTTTCTATTTGCATATAATGCATATTTTTGCATATTCCGGACGTTGTTGCATAATGCATATTTTACTGCATATTTTGAGGTTTTTGGGGAAAATATTGCGAAAATTGCCTAAAATCCTGCCAAAAAGTGAAAATTTAGTAAAAATTTAGGAAAAAATTTGTAAAAATTACAAATTTTGTAAAAAATTTTTTGTGTTTATTGGTTTCGCCAGAAAATGGCCCACCCCCATAATGTCTCAGCCCCAAAACGTCGCACCCCAAGATGTCCCACCACCAAAATGCCTCATCTCAAAATGCCCAACACCGTAAAAATGCTCAATTTGTCGAACTATACATTTAAAATAGGAGAAATCTTAATAAAAAAATGTATTTTAAATCATATTGACTAAAAATATGTAAAATTTTTAGGTATAAATGGTATTTTTCATGCATATATGCGTGTATATTTTGGTTTACTTGCATATTTTTGTGCATATTTTGGCAATTTTTTATGCATATTATAGTGCATATTTTGCATTTTTTAATGCATAAAAATCCGGGCTCTACTTATAATAATGTAAGTGTGTGTGATAAGGTTCCTTTTTTCAATAAATGCTATCAGTGGTAAATTGAACATATAAGCAAGCTTCGGAGGTTGCAGATCAGGATATTAAGAGCGAGGGGATTTTTCGTTAAGAAATCGAACCTCATACACGCATCCTTGCCCATCACTTTCATTGTTATCATTATCATTTACATCATTGAGATATTTTGCAGTTGTATTAATGTTTATTCCATTTACATCATTATCCTCTTCAGGAAATTCATTGTCCACAATAGATCCTTCATTATTTAGTTGGTCTTCCTCATCTTTTTTAATTTTTTCTGTTGTGTATTCATTAATGCGATTATTCTCTTCGTTATTTAACAGTGCATTTGTATCATCATCTTTAATAAATTGTGGGTCTTGAAGATTTTGATTGTCGATTGAATTGGAAGGTTGTTGCTCATTATCATTCTGTAAAAATTTATTATTTGGATTACGTCATGTATATTATTTTCTCAATTAAGCCATTATGCCTAGATGAAAGCCCTTACACATTAAAGTGCCAATAAAAAGGATATCAAGGTTTTTTTTACATTTTAGAGGATCATAACCACTAGATCATGATTATGGATGAATTACTCAAAAACACTAATTTGGATAAAATTAAGAATCTTTTCATTATTTTTATTATAAAAAGGTATGAGATCTAACATTAAGTTTTATTGAATTTTTTGAATAGTTTATAAAATAATTTTATCTGGTTAAATAAGTAATAATTTACCTCTCGAACGTCAACAGAGTCGACAAACTCATCACTGGGCTTACTATTAGAATTTTCATTGCCACTATCTCCGCTATTAGAATCAGAAGCAATAATTTTGTTTATAATTAAAAGGAAAATTAAAAGTTTTAAAAACATTTTTTAATTAAGAAACTTAAGGTCTTTTATTAATTTTAAATGTCAATTGAAGCATCATTTAAGCATTTTTATTTTCAAATTAAGTAAGGGATAAATTAAAGTTTATTCAGATTTTACCTTTTTTCTATTTTGAAATTCAAAAATGACTGATAAAAAAATTCTGTTTACTTCAAAATTTAATTTTTTTTAAAATTCATCCTTCTATCTATAGCCTTATTTTTAAAGCATTATTGGGAAATTTTCAGATGATATTTTGAATGACTAATAAAAATTATTGAAGGTAGATGATTTGAAAAGCTGAACAAATAAAACTAATAAAAATTCAAAGTGCAGATTTATTGGGCAATAATTATTGACTAAAAAATTTTTAATAACAATAATTATTTTGAAATAATTAATTCGTCATCTATTCTTTATTTTCTTCTACATACTATATATTTTTTACTTTAATTTTAAATTCTAAAATTTCAAATCAAAAACAAAAAAAATTAAGAATATTTTGTATTTACAATTCTACTTGTTTTATTTTTGCTTTATCGATGAAGATCTGAAAACTAGTTGGCAAAGACGAAACAGATACCTAGATTTTCGGCTTTTTTCCAATATCGGTCTCGGTTTTTTCATTCTCGTTCTCGAACCTGATACAGAAATTCTCGGTCCATTTCTCGGCGAGAAACGATACTGACTCAAAGAAACAAAATCCTCAATATTGTCCAAATTAATTTGACAAAGTGTTATAAATTTCATATTTAAGATTTAATTATTTAAGAATCATTTAAACCTTAAATTGTTTACAAGACCTTGTAGCACAGGGTAACCGTAACAACCCTCTCCCACGTATTGAAAATTTTTACAAGACTTATACACCTCCGTCAAGACTTATACCACCTCAAGAATGTTATTTATTATTAAAATTATAAATATCATTTTCTTGAATGTATATTTAATTATTTAATATGTCGAAAAGGACGAATTGCAGGTGCCAATTAACTCAACAAATTACCGCCTTAAAATTATTTTTCACGACAACTTTAAACAAATATTTATGAAATTATTTTAATGGCAGGTGTGTTTAATTGTAAACATAAAAAGATTACGTTAATAATAAATAATTTATTTTATAATAAAATGTTTCTTAAGAATTTTCTTTTTATTAAATTAATAATTTTTTATTCGAAAATTTTATAATTAATTAAAATAAAATTATATTAAAAAATTAATTTAATTATGGACGACAAAACTTACTATAGTGTAAGTTTATTTTTGTTAAACATTTAATATATCAAGAAGATTCGATAGATAAAATCGTGTCACGACACTTGCAGATATGACATTTACAGACCCGACATTGGTTTTTAAGATTTTTAAATTTTTTTTGATTAAAAAAATTTTTTTTCAAAAATTAATATCTGCAAATGTCTGGTCTGCACATGTCTCGTCTGCAAGTGTCGTATGACCGATAAAATATCTCATTAAAATAACAAAGAAAATTTATAAAACATGAAAAAACTAGGGGTGGTATCATTTTGAAACGCAGTGTAATTATTATAACAAGAGACCGGACATAGAAAAAATCTGAACAAAGATCTAAATCCAATAAAATTTTTAAAATAAAATTTAATTTAAAGCCAATCTACTCTACATATAATGAAAAAGGTTTTATGATAAAATTATTTTTGAATGCTTTACTTATAAGTTTATTTTCATTAATTGCAATTATAATGAATTCAAGTGTTTGTTATATTACAATCAAATATAGGTATGGTATAAATAAAAATTGTTGTACTCGTACATACCTATATAAATTAATGGGGATAAGAGATTAAAAATTTTAATTTGTGAATTTTGGATGGCGTTGGGACGAGGAATTTTCAAAAAAAAACTCTTAAATTCTCCGACTTTAGGTGACGGCGAATGAGACAAGTAATTTTTAGGATAAAATTTTTCTTTTATAAAAAATAGGAAAAATTTTAATTTTTAGAAAAAAATATACAGCATTAAGGAGTAATACAAGTATTTTGCTTGTATTTTACGCCTTATTTGAAATTTTGTTGAATACAGTAATATTTTTTTATTTGGCAACATCGACAACTGGAATTAATTTTCTTACAAATTGGTTATCCAAAACCTATATATTTTATGTAATAATTGTATTCAATACTTCGAATTTTATGTTACTTTTAATTAGCATTGATCGCTTAGTAGGCGTTACTTTACCTATATTGTAAGATTTAATACATATTTAGATCAGGGTGACCCTTATATCCTATTTATAGGGCATTTGCACTATTTTTGACCTTTTCGCTCTTGTTTTTTCCTATTTTCAACATTTGCTATATTTTGCCCTATTTTTACCATTTTGTAACATTTTAATTTTTTTGCCATTTTATAAATAGAATGTGAAATACGGAAAAAATCTGTCACTTGGCATTAAAAAATTCTCAAATTTTCGCCTGCGGCGCTAAAAAAAGAAGAAATCTGGCTTATTGCCTTCCAAAAATCCTCATATGTCAGATCCTCAATTGTCGTCCTCAAATGTCGTCCTCAAATGTCGTCCTCATTTGTCATATCCTCAAGTGCGTATCCTCAATTGTAGTACCGCCAAATTTTCGCCTGCGGCGCTGATAAGGAGAATACCGACTTATTATTGTGCTTTAATGCCCTATTTTTTGCATTATTTTTGACAATTTTCGCCTTATTTTTGCCACATTTTTGAGTGGCTGTGCCCTATCATAGTGGTTTGGAAAGGGTCACCCTGATTTAGATCTATTAAAAAAATTAAACTTATCAGGAAATTTTAGTGCCAGAAATTAAACCAAAAAATAGAAGAAAACCCTAAACAGTTACAGTACACGTACGAAAAATTTCAAATTTACAAACTTGGCCAAAACTGAAAGTTTATATATTTTTTTGTTCGTGTATTTAGAATAAAGAAGGAAGTAAAAATTTCTGATAAAATGCCTGAATTCCTAATACTCAATTCCTGATACCCGAAATCTGGAATTTGATTTCATGCCAGCCTGATCCCTGAGCTTGATTAGGAGTCTATTGACAGTTCTTAAACTTAAAATAATATTAAATACAAATTTCAGATACAATAACATGAAACAAAAGAAATATATAATTGTAAATATATCATTAATAACGTTGTACAATATTTTTATGATTTTCATCGTTATTTTGCCAGTATATGAAAAATATGGAAATTTTAAAATACCAGGCAATCCTATGGATATCATTATAATTATTTCATCAACCGGTCAAATTCGAACTGCGTTTCCTTTAATTATTTACATCATTACTTTAATGAATTATTTATTCGTTGGAATATTAACAAAATTCATAACGGGTACGGTTTGTCGGCCTAAAATTATTATTATATTTAGGGTTGCCAAAATGGCCCGACTCGGACCTAAAGATCGAGTCGGGCCTAAGATATTTAGCCCGAAAGACTCGTACGGCCCGAAAAAAATGTCTCGGAAAAAATATGTTAAGTACTGTACTTCCAAAATAAATACGAATCCGAACCCTAATTTAGTCTATTTATAATATTTATTAGATTTGCATCATGAAACAATTAAAAAGCTTTATCGATCTCTATATCTTATTGTTTTTGTGAATATCTGTTCTTGCCTTATTTTTCAACTCGTAGCAGTTCTACTACTCGGATTTTCAATAGAAAACGGCATAAATGAAGAAATTTGGTTTATATTAACATATTCTAGTATTATACCGTATTTACCCAAATAATTACCCTGGGTAATTATTGTTTCGATCTCTCGCTGGAGGGGGTAATTAATAGGGAGGGGGTAATTATTTGAGAGAGGGCAATTATTATTTCGACCTTTATATTTTTATTTTATCATAGGCATATGAACAGGAATATACAATACGTTACCCAATACTGAGATAAAAAATGTGTTTTAACTTTATTATTCCCTTAATATTTTCCACAAAACAGATTATAACATCAATACTTCTGTTCTGGGATCAGGGTGGCCCTTTTGCCCTATTTACAGGGCATTTGCCCTATTTTCGACCTTTCCGCCCTATTTTTTCCCTATTTTTACATTTGCCATATTTTTGCCCTATTTTTACCATTTTGTAAAATTTTTACAATTTTAGAATTTCGTAAATGAAATGGCAGAAAAAGTAAGAAATCTGGCATACGGCCTTCCAAAATTCCTAAAATTTTCGCCTTCGGCGCAAAAAAACAAAGAAATCTGGCTTCTTGGCCTTACAAAATTCTCAAAATTTTTGCCTGCGGCGCTAAAAAAGGAAGAATCTGTGAAGACTTTGTGTAAAATTAAGGGATTGGAAGGGCTTGAGTGGAATATATACAGCATTTAATCCACCAAAATTGGACGTAAAACATACACGATGTTTCTACTACCCCCAAATACACCGAATCCTCACAAATCCCTAGATAACTACAAGTTTCTAACCTCTTATCCATCTTAGATAACTTTCTTGCTCCTAAATCCCCTAGATAACTCTGTTATAACCAATTCCATTAATAATTGCTCAAAATCCCCCTATATCCCTCCATTTGCTCATTTAGTTAAACCTAGGTAAAAAATTCCGAATAAAGCTTTTTAATTGGAATTTCAATTATTTTTAATATTTTTAAATAATGCCCTATTTTTTGCCCTATTTTTGGCCAATTTTGCCCTATTTTTGCCCTATTTTTGAGTGGCTGCGCCCTATTTTAGTGTTTTGGAAAGGGCCACCCTGTCTGGGATATATAAAGTTTATTCCTGATTATTCCTGGTTAGAGGTTATTCCTGGTTAGAGGATATAATGTTAATTCTTTTAATATAAATGTCCTCAAAATAGTACTATACCAGCAATACTTTCGTCTTTGGATATATAAAGACACAAAATATTTAAGGTATTTAAGAGGATTTGGTGAGATATAAAGAATAAGGCTTAAAACGAATAAAGCTTATACTTTTAAAACTTCTTAATCTCTTATTGTCTTTTAAAAATCTCTTAATTCC